GGGGAGAAGGGGTTGAGCGCCTGTTCGTTTCTTAAAAAATATCGATGCACAGTTTGTATGTGTGATCACGTCCAGAAGAAAAAGAAAAAAATATCGATGCTATGTACCGTTTGTATGTGTTCGTTTCTGAGGTAGGGGGAGGGAGGTTGAAGACAAATGACTAGTTTTCGTTTCTAAATAAGTATCGGTATTTACGAAGGTCCCTTACTTTCCGCAGCTGCACGCTTTGGACTGTAGCCATGCAAGCAATGATCAGCGCTAGTCCAGAGTCTGTGCAGTGTATGTACAGACAGTGCACAATCGATCATTGATGCATCGCGTAGTACATGATTGTCCATATTTCATATTCGCGTGTCAAACTTTCGTGATTCGGCCCTGCTCGCGAAAGTCGCGGAAGTTAATCGCTCGCGAAAGTTTGTCGTTTAACAGTAATAGCTAGGCATCAAGTCTGAACCAAATTCCATGCTCCGCGCAATGAAAGTTGACGGGAAAGGGGAAAATACTCGCACCGACTCTGGGAGGTGGAAGTGCGTGAGAACCGATTTCTTCCCCACCGCTCGGCAAAAATCGGATGCGCATTTTCAACGACGCTGGTTCGATTTTTTCCAAATGGCAACCCATACTTCTGGCAGCGTATTTCGATGGGTATGGACATCTTCCAGGGCCCCGTGGCCGTCTATCACGGCTAAACATCTCCAATATTCGAAATTAGAGGGCCAAACTGGGTGAGGTCTGCCTGTCGACGGAAGTCGACAACAGCACTGGGGAATGCATGTTTACTCTTCGACGCAAGTCGACAATGTCACTCGGAGTGCATGAATGCGCAGTCGACAGTGGCAGTGAAAGGGTTAAGACTAAAATCGGAGCATTTGGAGCGAGTTTGAAAATTGACTGAAGTCACTATTGCCATAAGCAAATTTACACATGCGCTCAGCATCACGCATGCTGGTTCAGTACCCCGGTGAATGGTCGCTTTCTTTGCATCGTATCTCTTTCACGGCATGCCAGGGAAGGCTGAGAAAGTAATCGTGACTAATTTCACGGCAGTTTGTGCGCAAACCAGTCCCTCAAAAATCCATCACGATGTTTTTGTTTACTGAGGAAGTAGATGGAAAACCACTCGTTTGAGGGGCTACCGACCGACCTCCGGCCTGGCTATCCCCCTTTGAGGGAGATCTCCTGACCAAAGAGAAAACGAACTTGGCAGCTCTGAAATAGAGTCAAACCTCTTTAGGACGAACATCAAGGGACCGATTATATTCGTTCGCAATAACGGGAGTTCTTCTTTTCCATATGTTTTACCCGGTGAATACACAGGGTTTTATCCAATACAGTTTCGAATACTAGTTCTTCTTAGGCAAACATTTGTTTTATCAGTGTTCTTCCTAACAAGGTTTCACTGTACATGAAGTGCAACCACTGCAACTGCTTGTGGCTTAGCACCACAGCACATACCGTGTTTTCCGGTGTGTTGGCTGCACTTTGAAATGCATCTAAAAAACATCCCTGCGACTTATAAAATAATAATCCGAATGCTGGTTGTGCTCTACAGCGCTCCATGCATATAATGAGTGTATGATGTCATTCGACTGTTTTCATGTACTGTAATCCATCATTCCACTTGCACAAAGCTTCTACATGTCAGTTCAGAGTGAAGGACAATCTAGGCCCCTTTTTACCATAACCTCAGTTGTTCTTCATAAATTTTTAACCCTTTGACCTCGAACCACGAGTTAAAGGTCATTTTTGAACACGAGTTTGCTCGTGCGCAACCGTGCCAGTTTGTGCATTGTCGTAACTCCATTGTCCTTTCTTCGATCGCCAAGAATGAGGACTTATCGGAAAGTTGAGAGAATAAGCTTCCCAGCCGTGTGTCGTATGATCTGGCGTGATGAAGATTCACTGAGCGCTGAAGACCGAAACATGGATGCGCTTGGAAAGGGACGTCGCCTGTGACTCATGGTTGCATAGCGCATGCATAGTGGAGGCCAAATGAATCGCTTGGGCTTCAGGAACCTGCAGGGCTGTGAATCACCGTTCTACATTGAGTAAAACTTCAGAACCAATGACATTTGTGGATGTGGGCACAGTATCTCGCTCAGGCGCAATAGGGCAGCTCTCAAAAGACGTGACGGCGATTCTGTTGCTCCTGTGGAGTACTTAGTGGCGATACCTGGCGAGAGGAGATCTGTAGCTTTCCAAAGAGACCAAGATGGAGATATTCCAAATCTGGTGCGTGAAATTAGATAATGTTGAAATGCATACTGGGACTGTTGCGCGATCGATCGCGCACCTCTGCGCGAATCCTGAAGGAATCCATGGATGCCAAAGGGTTAAGCATTTGTAACGTCTTGTACGTATGTATGTACCGGTACCCATTAAGTTAGATTGTCAAAAAGGTAAAAGTCTGACGTATGACTTACTGGAAACCGTGAAATTATTGCGATGGTCGCGTGGAAATCGCGAAATTTAGCGCGAAAAGGAGATCCGTGAAAGGTTTAGCAAGAATGTCACAGTAGCACAAATAGTAGCGCAATCCAGCGTATTCGTGAAGATTGCCACCAAGAGTTTCCTTGCACCACTGCTGTACAAATAACTCGGACCGAAGTTCATTCCTTTCACATCCTTTTGAAGTTTTCCCTCGACGATCGCACTACTGCTTCTCTCTCGTCACTAGTAGTATGCCGTTCCTTCAGTGGATACAGAAAAATGATGACAGCAGCACTGCGAAGCAGGCTTCATACCTTCCTCCTGCGGCAAGCATTACCGTCGCTGCAGCAAACTGCGCCGTGGAAAAGGAGCTGGCTACGTTTCAGAAAAAGAAGAGGAAGCGTGGTGACTACCATAGATACACGGATGAGGTGAGAGCCAAGATCGGTCGACATGCCACTGAAAGCGGAAACAAATCAGCTGTTCAAAAGTTAGCTTGTCCTTGCTTAGCCTTCTTTGGCTGAAAATCTCTGCTTTAAAATTTTCAAATTCTGCAATCGCAAAATTAAAACCTCGCAAACCTGTCCTGATTCTGAAAACGCGAACTAAAAACGCCGCGAAAATTTCACGCTTTACAGTATACCTCGCCACAAAAATACGAATTTTGGGACTGAAAAGCGGCACGTAGCTTAGACCCTGGGGGCTGGGGAAAACGAATGTCGCAATCGACCCGTGTCTGATCCTGTGCATCAAGCACTAAATGTTGTACCACCCGACTTTGTAGGATATCACTGGACATTAACCTTTTTCGTACTTGGCCACTTTTCTCCTGTGAAAAAAGGGGCCACACACGGTGCCACACACACACACACACACACACACACACACACACACACACACACACACACACACACACACACACACACACACGTACACATGCCCGAGCACACACACACACACAGACACACAAGCGCACGCACACACACAAATGCATGCATGAGGAGGCGCGAAATTGAGGTCTGTGGGTCCTGGCTATGCCAATCTTCTACTCTGTCTATCATAACTTGGGGAATAAAAGTAAATTGATCAACTCATTTCTGGTGTTGTGTGTGTGTGTATGTGTGTTTGTGTGTTTGTGTGTTTGTGTGTGTGTGTGTGTGTGTGTGTGTGTGTGTGTGTGTGTGTGTGTGTGTGTGTGTGTGTGTGTGTGTGTGTGTGTGTGTGTGTGCTGTGTTTCTGCTTGGGAACAATGAACGAAATGAAGAAAGAGGAACTTAGAACTGGTGGGTGCCAATCTGTCTGCTCGATTTGAGAACTTCTTCGTAGTAATGATTTTTCGTAATCAAAGTCTTCAAGTATGAGATATTAGATAAAAAAAAGACAGAGATTGTGACAGAGAGAGGGAGATAGATAGATAGCTCATGTGGGGTAGTGCCTTTGCTGTTTGCGTTATGCAGAGCTCACTGACTTGTCAGTTTGAGCACTCTGGCAAGGTACGTTTGGGTCTGGTTTAAATCTGGCTTTGGAAAAAATATTTTTCATTGCTACCAGGTTCGGGCTCATTTTCTCTGTCCTGCGCTGATGAGTCCACAAAGGACTTAACAGTTTTGTCCGCTGATTGATTAGATAAATAGACCAAAGAGTGGTATATTTGATCAGATACTTCATTGGTTGCCTGATGATCGTAGTAATACGTGAAACTCAGAGTTGTAACAAAGCTTTCAATCTCTCTCTTGTGTAAGATACAAGTACTTCATTAGAAATATTTACGATACTTCTCCAGACGTTTCGTTATTCTGAACAACATCGTCAGTGGATGTTGGATGTCTTTCTTTATCCACTGAAGAAGTGTTTCACACAACGAAACGTCTGGAGAAGTATCGTAAATGTTTCTACTGAAGTATATTTATTTATCAAATATACCACTCTTTGGTATAGAAAGAATACTTTTTTGATATTAAAATGAGAGTGGATAATCAATGGCTTGTCCACCAACTCTTAGATAGATAGATAGATAGATAGATACAAAGGAGTAATTTTGGAAATTGCCAGCAACCATAATTATAGCGTCTGTGTGATACTGGCGTTATTCGTGAATCGTGTAGAGTAATATCAATTTAAGCACCAAGTATCACACATGATCATATTCATAGTGATTAGTCTCAGGTATTAGTATCAGTCGTCTGATTGCAATAGCATGAAACTTTGAGTTATGAAAAATCCAAACTGGACCACTTTCTGTCTTTTTAGTTAGATAGGTAAATAGATATAATTATACCCAATACTGTATGCTGTATACATAGTCAGAGAAACAGAGAAACAGAGAGATAGAGAGACAGAGAAAAGGGGTGTGTGGGGGGGGGAGGTTGGAGGGAGGGCGAACAGGAAGAGAATAAGGAAAGGGGGGGGGGGGCTCTCAATTGCTTTTGTGACTGGTAAACTCTGTTGTACTTGAGGCATTCTACCATTTCCCATGATAACATGTACTAATGATTGTTGCTGCTACTGCTGTTGCTGCTCTTCGTGCTGCTACTGCTGCTGCTGCATTATTATTGTTTATTGCAATGCAGCTGCTGTCGCTGAGGACATCATTGGTGGTAAGGACGAGGCCAGCGTGGTACGCGTGCGTATGTACCTTGTCGGCAAGTACGCCACGGGAAAGTCCAGCTTTGTCCGGGCACTGCTCGGTGAAGAGTTCATTGAAAACGCGGACAGCACCGACTCCATTTCCATCCATCGATCCAGACTCAGAATGCATCTCTCCTCTCAGACCGCCACAGGCACGCAAGAGGCAGCACAAGTTCTTGTGGATGACAGTCAACATAGTTTCTTTGTCAATCTACTCACAGCTCGCATCCGATCATCTGTAGATCTGGTCCAGAAAATCAAGAAACGTCCGCAAGAATCAATCTTGTCCAAAGCCAAGACACTGTTCACTTCACGACTCACTTCGTCATCGACTGCCTCCGCTACCGGCACCAGAGCATCTGCTGCATCCGCTGTCAACAATGAGTTTGCCAATGTTCCCCATGCTAATGACCTGACCAAAGTGGCACCAGATGTTATCTCTCAAGTTCGCTCATCTGTCAGCAATGTCGATAACAGTTCAAATGAAGCGGAAGCAGCATATGCGTTTGTTGAGCTGTGGGACATGGGTGGACAGATGCCAATGTTGGTACAACAAAGCATCTCGTTTTCAATTTGTGACAGCGTGTACATTGTGACTCTTGACATGAGGTGTGACCTGGATGAGGAGGTAACGGAAGACGTCTACCGCTTCGATGGTCAGGAGATTGTAACTTCTACACCGTTGCCAGGAATGACGCAGGCTGACTACCTTCACATGTGTCTGTCACTGATTGCTTTGCAGCATAGAGCAGACACACACCCTGACCAGCATCACCACCAGCAGCAGCAACAGCAGCAACAGCAGCAGCCGCAACAGCCGCAGCAGCAACAGCAGCAGCACCAACATCAGCAGCATCAGCATCAGTCAGACACAGAGCCGGGTAAGACCAGTAGCAGCAATAGCAGCCACCATCATGATGAGAGTAGCACAGCCATCATGGTTGTTGTTACACATGTGGATCTTGTCGATGACGACCAAATAGAGAAGAAGAAGAACATGTTCTTCAATGCCGTATCCAAGCTGGCTGAAAGGGCCGGACCCAACGTCAAGGTCTGTGGACCCTTCTTTGTTGACAATCACCGTCTTCAAGATCGCGTATCTCGCCACAGCCAGCTTGCTGAAGCACAGCAAGAGCTCTCTAGAATTGTGTCTGCCTTTCCTGTCCAAGGAATTCCCTTGATGCAGGTGAAGATAGAAGAAGCTATTTCTCTTCACCAAAAGGAAATGCTTCGCTATGCAAAGGCTGGGTGCAGTGATGATGCAATGCAAGCTACCAGTAGTGATCAGCAGCAGCAGCAGCATCGGCAGCAGCAGAGTTTTGTTAGTATGGACTACCCACAGTTTGTAGACTTTTGTCGGCATGTTAGCGGCAAAGATCTCACCACTGCACAAGTGTCTGATCTACTGCACCACCTTCAGCAACATGGCACAGTGTTTTGCTGTGACTGCCCGCATCCACTCACTTCAAGTGTCATTTTCCTGGAACCCCAGCAGCTATTGCTCTACTTTGTACGCTTGATGACCTTCCCTCTGAAGGAGACAGCTTTTCTAAGCACCTCAGCAACATTAGTCAGAGATGTGCAACACTTTCGATGTACGGGAATTGCCAGCGCTAGGTTGATAGAGAATGTTTGGTATCCTCTCAGCCGTGTTGTCCAGCTAGCTCTCTGCAAATCCATGTGTTACTTCAACCTAGCAGCAGAACTTCAGCCCGCCAGCAATGCAGCCACCAGCAGTACAGCCACCAGCAGTACAGCCACCAGCAGTGCAGCCACCAGCAGTACAGCCTCCAGCAGTGCAGCCATCAGCAGTGTAGCCACCAGCAGTACAGCCACCAGCAGGACAGCCACCAGCAGTAGAGTCAAGAGCAGGACAGCCACCAGCAGTACAGCCACCAGCAGTACAGCCACCAGCACTGGAGGGTGTGGCAGTAGAGTCGGCGGTAGCAGCAACAGCAGCAGCAGACAAGACAGATGTCCGGTTGTCACGCCAGGCCTACCCGACCTCTTCATCCCGTTCTGTTGCAACCAGGAAGCATTACGGTTGGTTTTGGAGGATGATGTTCCCTTTAAGCTACCGTTTAACCACCTCAGTTTCCCTGGGATGCTGTTTCCTCCACCACTGTTCGGTCGCTTAGTCACCTACATAATTCATCGTATGAAGAAAGAGTCAGCCAGTCTTCAGTTCACATCCAGTGCGGCATCACTGAATTTGGAGGTTGGTTGTAGTCAAGTATGCCTCTGCTGGACACCGACAGGTGTTCGCTTAGAATGCGCTGCTGATACACCATCCATACTTGCTGATGTGGCTTGGGATATGAAGAGTGCAATTGTTGACTTCACACAAGTTCTCAGCCGCCAAGGGTACCAGCAGTTCACAGTTGTTGGTGAATCATTTGTCTGCACTTCCGCATCATGCCAGGATCGCCTGAAGGAATGCAGCAGTCCTGCAGAGGTGCTGGTACACTCGTCATGGGTGTTGCTGACCAGCTTGCACAAGAAGCATTTCTTGACGGCATACGAGTCGGATGGGAACACCGCCCTGACCTTCAAGGCTACGTGTGCTACCTGCAAGGAGAAGGTCATTATCCCGAGGTCCTTCTGGCCCTGGCTGCGTAAGGATGTGCCATTTGTCAGAGCTGAGGTGAGTTGAGAAGATGTTCTTCCACTGTCTTGTATGGTTTCAGCATACACTTGAAATGTCAAGCTGCTAGAATAGATACTTTGCTGCAATATCTACACCATCATGTGACTGCGATCATGTGACTGCGATCATATGACAGTGATCGTGTGACTGTGATCATGTGACAGTGATCGTTTGACTGTGATCATGTGACCGTGATCATGTGACAGTGATCATGTGACCGTGATCATGTTCATGTGACTGTGATCATGTGACTTTAATCGTGTGACGGTGAGGATTTGACTGATCAAGTGACCGTGTGTCGTTTATTAGTTTTCATTATCTCTTCAAGGAGAAGTAGTTTCTTTTCAGCAATACTCAATAGAATTCTACTTGATCAAAAGCTAGCATAGAATTGCAATGCACTACGAATGGAGGATAATTATTATTTCACGTTATACGTCTGTGGAATGGGCCTGACTGAACTTTTCTCTTGTTTGTGTTTCTTGCCTGCATATCTTCGGATTTCTAAAACGGTTTCAGCAGCCACTAGCAGCAGCAGCAGCAGTGCCACCAGCAGCAGTGCCACTAGCAGCAGCAGTGCCACCACCAGCACCAATGCCACCACCAGCACCAATGCCACCACCAGCAGCAGTGCCACTAGCAGCAGCAGTGCCACCAGAATCAGTGCCACCAACAGCAGCAGCAGTGCCATCAGCAGCAGCAGCAGTACCACGAGCAGCAGCAGTTCCACCACCAGGAGCAGCGCCTCCAGCACCAGTGCCACCAGCAGCAGCAGCAGTGGCACCAGCAGCAGCAGTGGCACCAGCAGCAGCAGTTCCACCACCAGCAGCAGTGCCACTAGCACCAGTGCCACCAGCAGCAGCAGCAGCAGTGCCACAAGCAGCAGCAGTTCCACCACTAGCAGCAGCAGCAGTGCCACCAGCAGCAGCACCACTAGCAGCAGCAGTGCTACCAGCAGCATTGCCACTAGCAGCAGTGCCACTAGCAGCAGCAGTGCCACCACCAGCAGCAGCAGTGCCACCACCAGCAGCAGTCCCACCAACAGCAGCAGTGCCACCACCAGCAGCAGCAGCAGTTCCACCACCACCAGCAGTTCCACCACCAGCAGCAGTGCCACCAGCAGCAGCAGTGCCCCCAGCAGCAGCAGTGCCACCAGCAGCAGCACTGCCACCAGCAGCAGCAGCAGTGCCACCAGCAGCAGCAGCAGTGCCACCAGCAGCAGCAGTTCCACCAGCAGCAGCAACAGTGCCACCAGCAACAGTCCCACCAGCAGCAGCAGTGCCACCAGCAGGACAATCAGCAGCAGCAGCTGCATTACCTCTGCCATCACCATCATCATCATCATCACCAGCAGCAGCGGCAGCAGCGGCAGCAGCGGCAGCAGCGGCAGCAGCAGCGGCAGCAGCAGCATTAGTACCCGCAGAGGCAGTTTCATGCCAACGGTCAACATCACCGTAAGCACATAGACTTGCTGTAATTCAAATCATGTGTACATGGTACAGGTATTGCTTGACACCTGATCTCAATTCTACCTTTCATATGCTAATAGCAATGTTACTCAAAGTCCCTACCACTATTTTTGTAATGTTACTGGAAGTAATGCCATCATAACAAGGTGTTCTCTTGCTTGTGTGTGTGTGTGTGTGTGCGTGTGTGTGTGTGTGTGTGTGTGTGTGTGTGTGTGTGTGTATGTGTGTGTATGTATGTGTGCGTGTAAGTGTGTGTGTGTGTGTGTGTGTGTGTGTGTGTGTGTGTATGTGTGTGTGTAAGTGTGTGTGTCTGTGTCTGTGTCTGTAATGTCCGATTTAGGGAGAAGCTTGTAGCAGAAGATGGTTTAGCAAAGGTACTCCAACCAGAGCTGAACACTAACCAACCATGTAAGTCACTTCAATACTACCGAATAATATTGATTTCTACAAACAATAGGAGGACAGAGAAAGTGTTTCTACTCCGAGCTTTACGCACTAAGCGATCATCAGAAAACTTTCTCTGTCCTCCTATTGTTTGAACCGGCTCTACCTGTCGGTATTGAGCACTCTCTTGGATAGCCTGGAACCTCTCTGTGTTTAATGATTTCTAAAGATGTCTGCATAGTGGTAGAGTGAAACCTGTCTAAGGCCACCCCTCAAGGGACGAGAAAAAGTGGTCTAAGGCCACCCCTCAAGGGACGAGAAAAAGTGGTCTAAGGCCACCCCTCAAGGGACGAGAAAAAGTGGTCTAAGGCCACCCCTCAAGGGACGAGAAAAAGTGGTCTAAGGCCACCCCTCAAGGGACGAGAAAAAGTGGTCTAAGGCCACCCCTCAAGGGACGAGAAAAAGTGGTCTAAGGCCACCCCTCAAGGGACGAGAAAAAGTGGTCTAAGGCCACCCCTCAAGGGACGAGAAAAAGTGGTCTAAGGCCACCCCTCAAGGGACGAGAAAAAGTGGTCTAAGGCGACCCCTCAAGGGACGAGAAAAAGTGGTCTAAGGCCACCCCTCAAGGGACGAGAAAAAGTGGTCTAAGGCCACCCCTCAAGGGACGAGAAAAAGTGGTCTAAGGCCACCCCTCAAGGGACGAGAAAAAGTGGTCTAAGGCCACCCCTCAAGGGACGAGAAAAAGTGGTCTAAGGCGACCCCTCAAGGGACGAGAAAAAGTGGTCTAAGGCCACCCCTCAAGGGACGAGAAAAAGTGGTCTAAGGCCACCCCTCAAGGGACGAGAAAAAGTGGTCTAAGGCCACCCCTCAAGGGACGAGAAAAAGTGGTCTAAGGCCACCCCTCAAGGGACGAGAAAAAGTGGTCTAAGGCCACCCCTCAAGGGACGAGAAAAAGTGGTCTAAGGCCACCCCTCAAGGGACGAGAAAAAGTGGTCTAAGGCGACCCCTCAAGGGACGAGAAAAAGTGGTCTAAGGCGACCCCTCAAGGGACGAGAAAAAGTGGTCTAAGGCGACCCCTCAAGGGACGAGAAAAAGTGGTCTAAGGCCACCCCTCAAGGGACGAGAAAAAGTGGTCCAAGGCCACCCCTCAAGGGACGAGAAAAAGTGGTCTAAGGCGACCCCTCAAGGGACGAGAAAAAGTGGTCTAAGGCGACCCCTCAAGGGACGAGAAAAAGTGGTCTAAGGCCACCCCTCAAGGGACGAGAAAAAGTGGTCTAAGGCCACCCCTCAAGGGACGAGAAAAAGTGGTCTAAGGCCACCCCTCAAGGGACGAGAAAAAGTGGTCTAAGGCGACCCCTCAAGGGACGAGAAAAAGTGGTCTAAGGCCACCCCTCAAGGGACGAGAAAAAGTGGTCTAAGGCGACCCCTCAAGGGACGAGAAAAAGTGGTCTAAGGCGACCCCTCAAGGGACGAGAAAAAGTGGTCTAAGGCCACCCCTCAAGGGACGAGAAAAAGTGGTCTAAGGCCACCCCTCAAGGGACGAGAAAAAGTGGTCTAAGGCCACCCCTCAAGGGACGAGAAAAAGTGGTCGCCAGGGCCAGGTGGTCTTCTTATCCAGGTTCAGTGGGTCACGTGACCATATCCACACATGTGATCCATCATTTTGATCAGTGCATCGCAGTGCACACACCTACATGTATGCTACTCTAGCATGACTCATGTGCCTGGTGTCCTCAGACCTGTCATGCACACACCTACATGATTTTATGCTCCTCTAGCAAGACTCATGTGCCTGGGGTCCTCAGACCTGTCATGCACCATGTAGCTGTACATGTACACAGTTCCTATACTGATCATGTGTAGATGTACCATGCAGCCTGCTGCACCATGCAATGCGTACATTTACATGCACTAGCACTGTGCAACGCTGTCGCGGGTGGGTGGTCGTCGGTCCCGTTGAGCGAGTGGTCGCCTTACGAGGTGTTTTGAACGTGAATGCGTCCGTGACAAGGAAAAGTGGTCGCCATGGTCGAGTGGTCGCCATATCCGAGTGGTCGCCATGGTCGAGTGGTCGCCATATCCGAGTGGTCGCCATGGACGAGTGGTCGCCATATCCGAGTGGTCGCCATGGTCGAGTGGTCGCCATATCCGAGTGGTCGCCATGGTCGAGTGGTCGCCATATCCGAGTGGTCGCCATGGTCGAGTGGTCGCCATATCCGAGTGGTCGCCATTACAGGTTTTACTGTTTATGCAAATCTTGAACTATAACTTATGTCACATTTCGCGTGAAACTAAGTTAGTCTGAGTTTTTCACAACCACAGGATTGCCACCACCCGCTAGGACTAAGGCGCAGATGCAGCTCATAAAGCGGTAGAAGATGAATAGATGATATGCCAAATAAGCGCTCGAAAAGTTGAGAGGGCATGCGATTGATGTGCCCAGGCTTAGCTTGTCAAGTGCACGGGATGCACAAAGTACACGGATTTTAGGCTTGTTGCGAGTTTACGCGATCAGGTGCTGCACGTGCATGAATGGAATGCATGCAGTTCCACTGTTACTGCATTTTAGCATTCCGTCGGAGACAATTTTCGGATGAAGAAAAGGAACTCTGATACCTTTGTGCATAGTTTGCTTTCAATTTTTCATTTTGATACCCAGATATGGCAGCAAGAAAAAGCACACCAGCCATAGCTTTTCGCTGTGCGAACCCACCTGTCGGCGAAACGATTGCCAGATGGACTTTTGCTCAGCTGAAGACGTATATGTACGTGAGGGAGAGATACCGGTAGATGGAAAGCGAGATGATTTGTTGCAGAGATAAGACAGAAAGATTTTATTTTATTCCCAACGCCACAGAGCTTAGGACGGGGGACAATGATGGCAGTCGGGTCCGAGCAGCGAAAGGGCGATGAAAATCCATTCCTCCTTCACTGGTCGCTACAGCAGCGAATACCTTGACACCATCTGCATCGGGAACAGAAAAAGCTGCTTCTCCGCTGAATCCATCAAATATTAGATGCTGCTCAACAAACAGACGCAGAATTTCCCACCGAGGCCTGGAGCCATCGCTCGGAGGATTTGCTAAGTGGTGTTTCTGCTAGTGCTGTACTCCAGCATCTTCAGAGTCGAGAAATGTACCTAACGACACAGAAACCATTCGGGGATGAGTCCTTCTTCTCGCCATTCGTTTACAGTGTTGAGTGTTGCTTCCCAGACCCAAAGAATTCTGGACCGCAGAGATACTTTGTCAAGGCTAAGTGTTGGGCATCTCAAAAGAAGAAGGAGAGCTAAGTGTGTGCTACAGTGCTAAAAGAAAAGCATGTACTCGAAGTGATGTCTGCATATTGCACTTGCACAGCAGCATTGCATGCTCCTTCCACCACATTGTTCAATGTTGCATTGCTGCTGACTCTCAACTATTGTGAGATGAAAGGTCAATACCTGGCATATGCAACCTAGCAACAACAGCAATGGGGCACAAGGGCCAAGGAACGTAGTTGCGAAAACCCTTATCAACCACCTGGGCATACTGACACTGGCAACATTGATTTTCCTTTGTACTGGGAAATCCTGCCTTCCCTATCCCACATCACGGAGAAGGTGCTCCTAACAGAGGCAATAGCAATAGAGCCCCATACCCAACAGCATATTGGCAGCGGCATATGGCATAGGCTGAGAAACAAGACCCTGACTGCTTCGCGGTTTCACCTCATCCCTCACCCGAGTGAGATCACATCAGCGTTTCTTCCCTCATTGCTCCAGGCAACCAGTTTCTCATGTGCTTCCGCTATTAGTCAGGGCCAGCACAAATAGAGTTGTTCTATTTTTGTTCTATTTATTATTTTACTAGGGCCATCCCTGCAGACAATGCGCCTTTTTACAGGGTGCTCAAGGTTAAAGTGGGTAAAAAAAGTTGAATGAAAAACCGAGGCTGCATACTACGCCATTACGTATTGCAAAAGAGGTTATGTAGAAGGTTGTTATAACATAACAGCCTTCTACGCAGCATCTGTGGCATGACCAAGGAGGCTGCCTAGCAGCACCCCGATGGAAGAAAACTCCAGCTATCACTGCTATCAGAGACCAGGTACCTGTATGTTTCGCCAAGAGAAGCTATGTCGTGAAAAAGCAGTAGCTAGGGCTAAAGCGAGGGTGTACTATCCCCTCAGCAGGCCTGGTCAAGGCTTCCGTAGCCAGCATTGGGTGACTACTTGACCTAAAAACAAAGGAAACTCTGCAAAGAGGGGGCTGTGGCGCTATGGCATGGCAGCCATGCACACATTTATAAAACAAAGCAAAACAAGGCGAAATAATTCTTATAAAGTTTTAACAGATGGCGACGGGAATATTTTGTGGCGGTGACAAATGGTGGCTGCTGGGTAGCCAAATATTATCTTGAGACTCCACTTGAAACGTCGAATGACTGTTGTGCAAGGTTACTGATTATGATGCCTTGTGTTTGAACCTGGATACTAGAACTCCAAACATGCGACTGTTAGTCATTTCGCTCAATTTTGCTACTTTATTCTTGCAGCCACCCAGATTGCATTGAATACTGTCGAATGTTTCCTCCAGCGTAGTGACAGTATGCCTGGGGTATCACTAGGTATGAGTCGTATGTCTTCAGGCAGCTCCCGTGCAGTAGCTCACGACACGAGGTAGAGCGACGCCGGTTAGCATCAGCCGCTGTTGTCTTGGCGAACCAGATTGAAAACTCCAGATACAAAATGTTTTACCAGTCTTGCTCTGGCGATTTTCTCCCTTGTACATAATCTTCTGGCAAGAAATGGTCAGAGCACACCACTGTAGTGTCACTTTCTGTTGCTCTCCTAGCCTTTCCTCCCGTCGAATAGCAACAGTCCGTTTCCTTCACAGTTCAGGATGATGGAAATTGATGGAAAAGACGAATACCATTTGCTGGGGCTGGGGAGTAACGCCGGTCACCAGTACATCCTGGAACACAGCAATGGTCGTGGTTGGTCGGCATCCGAAAACAAGACAGCGAAAAATCACTCCAGCCGCTATAAAGCAAGCAAAACTGTTTCTTCTACAGCTTTAGTTTTTCATTAATCTCAACGCCGAAGGAAGTGCTAAAACTAGTAACGGTGGAACTGCATGCATTCCATTCATGCACGTGCAGCGCCTGATCGCGTAAGCGCGCAACAAGCCTAAAATCCGTGTACTTTGCACATCCCGTGCACTTGACAAGCTAAGCCTGGGCGCATCAATCGCATGCCCTCTCAACTTTTCGAGGGCTTATTTGGCATATCATCTATAGATCTGAGCTAGCAAACAGACTGAAAACCTCATTTGCCTTATCCATGCTACCCTTGAGCCAAGCCACCTGTTTACAATTAACTACTCGTATGGGTTGCGTCACGGCTGGAAACATCCTTACACTTCCAAGCAGGACATAAACTTGGATGTGTGTATGAACATTCATCCATTCTTACGAGTTGACATATATATACAAACAGTCAACTTTGCGTATAACGACACTCGGCGGTGCATCAGAAATGTGACCTTATTCGCGAAGTGTCCTTAAACCCGAAGTCGCATTATATGTATTACAGTTAGATGGGCACTTTCCTCTGGTCATGGAAATTCTGTTGTTATTCACGAATTGTGGTTATATCCGCAGTCGTTATTAGCAAAGTTGACTATAATATACATACCCAAAGCTGTAGACAGCAAGCTGTTTCGGCCATAGAGCCATCATCACTACATCTACAAGCTTTAAGTATGCCGAGTTGCCAACCATGGTGAAAAGGTGGCACCACAGACATTAAGACAACTCGTTGCTGTGCGTGTGTGGATGTGTGTGTGTGTGTGTGTGTGTGTGTGTGTGTGTGTGTGTGTGTGTGTATGTGGGTGTGTGGGTGTGTGTGTGTGTGGGTGGGTGGGTGTGTGTGGGTGTGTGGGTGGGTGTGTGTGAAAAGCCACTTCAATCAGCTGTGTGGTGGATACCAGGCTAAATTAGTGGCGGTCAATTCATCAGCCTTGCAAGCTGTTGAATGGTGTAATCCCAGCACAAGTTGCTATGTCTAACATAGCTGTTCGCTATCATCGCTTCCGCGATGTGCATGTCTGAGGTCTGAGGTGTGTGTGTCTGTGTGTGTGTGTGTGTGTATGTGTGGTGCATGCGTTTGTGTGTGTGTGGGGGGGGAGGGAGGGTTGGCAAGTACAAAAGTATACATGGCAAAACTGAAATGGAGCCACATGCATGTAGCACAACAGTGATTTAGATGCCAAGAATCCTTGCCAGGTTAGCCATTGCCATGGTATAAGCATACTTAGATCAACCACTGATGATGTACACGTCCAGACTGGAGTGACGCACATCGACACTCTAGAACCTGCTGTCTGGGTTAAAATAACGTGTACGGCTTGCCTTAAATCATCTTTTTATCATAAATCATTTTTTTGTATGTTTGTTCATGTTTTTATGCCATGTATACCTTGCTTAGATGAGGACGAAAATTCGTACGGCGACCCGTTCAAACAAAGTTCCTTTCTAACCCATATCTCACCTTGGCTGGGCACATTACCAGCAGGAACATTTCGTAAAATGGCGCAAGGGGCCGGGTTCTTTGCCGATCTGGAGCAGATAGACGACTTGAAGAGGATTGAGAGACGAGATGGACCACGCGCTCACAACGAAGAGTTGGTTAACATTGTAAGCAGCGAGGAACAGGCTGGCTACATCAAGCTGGTGAAGATCATCAAACGCTGGGGTAAATATCCCGACAAGGTCGACAAGATGAACCAGCTTCTGCCACGACGGGCCCGTGTGTAAACGGTAGGTTGCATTCATTTCTTGCACTACCTGAATTCCGAATAAGTCATTGCAACGTACGTCTGTTGTTTGGCTGTGATGATGTATTTCTCATCAGATATTGTCCCAGTTGTGATAGAAAGTATGTTGAAGAGGTATCCGTTGTTCATAAATCAAGATTGAGAAAAGTCAAATTTTCTTACGACTGGAAATTTGGAGCACATATACTGATATGTACTATATTTTGCGGAGTGTTAGCCGCACCTTAAAACACCTTAAAACACCTTAAAACACCTGAAAACTGTTTAAAATTGTGTGCATCAGTGTGGATTTACGTGTATGTGTATATGTGTGTGTGTGTGTGTGTGTGTGTGTGTGTGTGTGAGTGTGTGTGTGTGTGTGTGTGTGTGTGTTTGTATGTGTGTGTACATGTGCATGCATCCAATCCATTCCGGCTACGGTGTATGCTATAATGTGAACGTCTTCGTGTTCGTGCGGTATTCTCTGTTTGCTCCGTCACAGATTGAGGTTTCAAGCACTTCACGCAGCAAGTGCTGGTACTGTTCTCTCTCTCTCTCTCTCTCTCTCTCTCTCTCTCTCTCTCTCTCTCTCTATCTATCTATCTATCTATCTCTATCTCTCTCTCTCTCTCTCTCTCTCTCTCTCTCTCTCTCTCTCTCTCTCTCTCTCTCTCCGTGGTGTGTTCTCTATATTACTGACTGGCTATGCTATTCATCAAATCCATTCTTCCTTAGTCATTTTTACCAAATTGTAGCAGCATTATGTTATGCTTGATCGCTACCCCACTAAATATTTCCTTCCTCTATATAAATGTACTCCCCCCTCCCCACCCCTTGTCCCTACTCCTCCCAAGTTTTTGGTGCACTGAAGTGTCGCTTAAGCCGAGACCTCAGGTCGGCAGAGATGCTCCAGTTTCACCACCACAGTTGCGTCTGCAACCACCTCTATCATGCAGTATTCTGTTCTCGAGGTTCGTGGTTTCCCGTAAAAAAATGAAATATTCTAGTAGGTTAGGCAGTAAAGACAGCTAATTGTAGAGGACCACACCAGGGTACTTTGCCCGTTGCAGAATTACTACTTATAGTCATGCAGATACTTGAAACTTTTCTTTTTAATTTTATGAATGCATATATTGGAATATTTTCATTATGCCGAGGTATACCGTTAGACTATTTTAGTGATATAAAATATTTTTGATCAAGTTCCTTCTTTTCGAAATTCCAGTCACTTATACAATGTCATGTACATACACAATTATTACAAAACGGAATTTTAAGTTTGCGCTATCAGAATTTCATTTTCACTTCAATACTGTAAGAGTGCCATGATTTCAGTACCATTGGTGGTGGGTCACATGTTGTACAAACTCTAAAACAAACATTTTCTTCTCATCAGAACTTGGATCTATAGTGCCTCGTCTACAAAGTTCAGTATTAAAAAAATTGTAAAAGAGAAAAGGAGTCAAGGACACATGGTTACGAGTTAAGAGTAACTCTCCATCACTGTAACATGATACTATATACAGTTTTGTGCCTAGTTATTGCACTTTCTGACTGTATATAGTATCATGTTACAGTGATGGAGAGTTACTCTTAACTCGTAACCATGTGTCCTTTTCTCTTTTACATTTATTTACCGTATTATCTCTAATATAAGCACAGTCTCCAATAATAGCACGTCTCCAATAATAGAACACCTTGGGGCGGCATTCAGAAAATAAAGTGCTCAGTCTCCATTATAAGCACACTGTGTAAATTCATTATCTGTACTGGCGAAAAAAACCCTGAAATGTGTGTGTCATACATGAATTTGGCATGGCAACATGCCTCTGAAATGAGGTTGAAATAATAATGGAACAGTCTCCAATAAAGGAACGTCTCCATTAATAGCACGGGGTGGAGGTACATTGAAAAAATAAAGGACCGTGCTTATATTAGAGATAATACGGTATGGCTCAACATCTGAGTTTCAAATTAACAAAATTCCTTGAAGATAGAGTCAGCCTGGTAAATAACAATCTAGGTTAAAAGAACAACTAATGAAAAACCACACATGACTTAACATCCAGTGACCATTTGACTACATACTTCAAGCTCACTAATAACAAGAGTAGATTAACAAGAGTGTGCAACTCCGGATCTCTTCTGCACTATCTGCAGATACCCCGAATTTTTTGTTGATGTCACCTTTTTTCAGGAAAACGTGCATTTTGCCGCAGAGCAGTGTGAGAGCACGTGCTGGGCACCGACCTTGTAATGTAAAGCCCGGCCAAGTGCACGAGGACTTACTTTCCAAACGACTCGCAGCGCGTGCGTCGTCGAAAAGATTACGTCAACAAAAAAATTCCGCCGCGGGCCAACCCATCCTGGAGTTGCACACTCTTGTGTATCTACTCTTGCTAACATACTCCCGCGAATAGCGATGCTGTACTCATGTACGGTGGAGCACAATTACCAAGCAAGTGGCAACATGTCATTTCGTTCAATCTCCCAATATTCCCATGACTAGATAAGCATATTTTCTCTGTCTGCGCTCATTAGGAAATGCTGGCGATAAAAATACAACAAAATTCTATTGTATGCAATATGCACTCATTTACACCGTACGCGGAGCACAGCGGACTAGTTATACACCCAAACAGAAGAAAAAATACACCCTGCCCACTTTGAAAACAAAATATTCTGCTGGGTAAGTAATTTGGATGTGTGCACAATTTCGACAAATTCGAAAGGGCTAGTGCGGGCCTAAATACCATGGTCACGATTGTATGGCTTTCAGTCGAACAGTCGAAACAAATGTTTCTCACTTGAACACCCCGTAGAGCTGCCACTGTTGTGCCAAGGCCCATTGGCGCATGGTGTGTATACTCCAAATCTACATGTATGATGATCGGTCACTGCTGGCGTTTGTGCTCTTGGACAGTGCAACGCTGCGTGAAGATAAGTTGTGGCTCCACAATCGCTGAGAAGGCTAGTGTGCGTCCATGGAATACTAAAACACAATAGGCGTGGCGTGGCGCAGCTAACGCCCACTTGGATGAATCGGACGACAGTGGTCGCGAGTGCATTCTCCTTCCTCGGTGAACACTGCTGGACACCCTGTTTGATGATCCACCAAACACCATCGGTGCAGGCCTCGTTTTTCGGAACCAGAGATTTGTTCGTCCACCAACAATTGAAATTTAAAATGTTTCTCACTTGAACACTCTGTAGAGCTGTCGCTGTCGTGACTAGGCCGTGTATACTCCAAATCTACATGTAGGATGAAGAGTAACAGTTACAGCTGATAATGCTGTTTGCGCTCGTGGACAGTACAACGCTGTGTGAAGTAAATAATTATTGTTGCACCACAATCGCTCAGAATGCTAATGTGTGTCCATGGAATACTAAAAGACAATAGTCGCGGTGCAGCTAACGCCCAACGTGGATGAAACGGACAACAGCAGGGGCTACAAGACACTATACTTGATGATTCACTAAACACCAAACACGGCAAACACCATCGTTGGGGGCCCAGTGACAGTTTTCCGGCAACAGTGACTTGTTCGTCCAGCAACTACTTGTAACTTTGAGTATTTCTTCAACACTTCGTAGAGCAGCCGCGCAAGGCCTTTCCTTCACGTTAGGGTAGCGATCCTTCCTAGATGCTATCGCCACTCATTGTTACTTTTTACTACAATTTGACACTCTAGTAGTTTTTCTCCGAAAATAAAGTCAGCTGCCATCAGGCATTACTGAGTACAGAGTCAATTACACCTCGCCTAGATATAATACATGTACTAGGCCTAGCGCATAGCGCCTGGACTTGTTAAATAACATTTTTACAAAAATAATAGTAAATTAAAATTATTTTGCAAGTCTTCAATCATGTTTGCATGTACACGCACTATCCAGCCATGAGGAGTGACCCCAACTACTACCTACTAGTACATGACATTATTGTGTGTGTGTGTGTGTGTGTGTGTGTGTGTGTGTGTGTGTGTGTGTGTGTGTGTGTGTGTGTGTGTGTGTGTGTGTGTGTGTGTGTGTGTGTGTGTGGTGTGTGTGTGTGCGTGTGTGTGTGCGTGTGTGTGTGTAATGGGTAGCCGAGTGGTAGGCGCGGTGAAATCAACAACAATTACTTTTATTCTACTTTCAGGTACACACCTGAGATATCATTATTAGTGAAAGAAGAAGCGGCAAAATAAATGAGTTTCTCTCCGGTGCACACCTGGAGGTTGAATAGCTCGTTATTATCAAAATCTCATTTTCTTCAAAACAGAAATGCGCAGCCGCTTTTATGCAGCAGACGCCGTACGCTTACATACGGAGATACACTAAATTAATATACATCAGGCAAAGCTCCGTATTAGTTCCGTACTACTTCCGTATTGATCGGGCAGGGATACTACACCCTCCCTTCCTACACATAATCACGCCCTCGTGATTTTCAAAAAATTAGTGAAGAGTTATGAACACAGCGTCAACCGGAAGATGGCAAATTATATCGGAAATGATAACGTTTAGAGTAGACAGAAGAAATGAACTGATAACAAATCATAAAGTAGAAGCACACCAGGTTCACACGATCTCACGGGGTCAAAAGGGGAAAGAACTGTCCTTCAAATAGGACCTGAAAAACCACAGCACTCTTGCTGCACAACGCTGGCACAACCCGCCAGGAACATCGCAGGTCAAAAACCGAACTGAATACACTATACCTATAAGGGGCGTTGTCACACACATTGTCCCACGTTAGCTGGGTAAGCCGTGGCTCACCATGATCAGACGCCTACCAAACTAAACTGGATTCACACACTCGCATAAAGGAAGACTGAAAAGAACAGGGAGACTGAAGGAAGAGAGGAAAGAAAATGCCATACCTAGAATCAGCGTTAGTAACCACGGCGGCGGCTGAAGCTACGGCCGAGGGCAAGCCAGTTTTTATCTTCATCTTGGTTGAGCCGGTCACTCAGAGCGGCTAGCTCGGCGTCAGACAAATAACCTCCCTCCTCGTCTTCAATCGTGGTCTTCACATTGTCGATAGCATCGCTTTGCGCGACGTAAAGAGTGATGGTCTAGCCAGGAGGAGTGTTGACGAAAATCTGCATCCCACCACGGAGGCGAAGTACCAAATGAAGAGTGGGCTCCTGCTTCCGACTGCGTGCCGGCGAAAATCAAACGCTGCTGGTCTTGGGGAATACCCTCCTTGTCTTGGGTACCAGCAGCCTGCATGTCGTCGTCCTCATCAGCTTCGCCATCACCACCGGTAGTATACATGTAGGTAGCGGGTTGCTTGGAATCGCCATCGGAGTCTCCAATGGATGCCGTGCGGAAAGAATGGTGATCCACGTTAGCACCCTGACTGTGCTGCAGGCTAATAAGCATGGCCAGGCCCAGGAAAGCATGAAACACGATTCTCATCTTGATTCGTCGCACGGAGCTGCAGCGGGTTGAGCCATGGGGGTCTGGGGTCGAATCACGTTGTTTTATTTAAAACTACACCGCTGCCACCAATGTAATGGGTAGCCGAGTGGTAGGCGCGGTGATATCAACAACAATTACTTTTATTCTACTTCTTTCAGGTACACACCTGAGATATAATTATTAGTGAAAGAAGAAGCGGCAAAATAACTGACTTTCTCTCCGGTGCACACCTGGAGGTTGAATAGCTCGTTATTATCAAAATCTCATCTTCATCAAAACAGAAATGCGCAGCCGCTTTTATGCAGCAGACGCCGTACGCTTACATGCGGAGATACACTAAATTAATATACATCAGGCAAAGCTCCGCATTAGTTCCGTACTACTTCCGTATTGATCGGGCAGGGATACTACATGTGTGCGTGTGTGTGTGTGTGTGCGTGCGTGTATATGTGTGTGTGCGTGTATGTGTTTGTGTGTGTGTGTGCGCGTGTGTATGTATGTGTGTGTGTGTATATGTGTGTATGTGTGTGTATGTGTGTGTGTGCGTGTGTGTGCGTGCGTGTGTGTGTGTATGTGTGTGTGTATGTGTGTGTGTGCGTGTGTGTGTGCGTGCGTGCGTGTGTGTGTGTGCGTGTGTGTGTGCGTGCGTGTATATGTGTGTGTGCGTGTGTGTGTATGTGTTTGTGTGTGTTTGCGCGTGTGTATGTATGTGTGTGTGTATATGTGTGTATGTGTGTGTATATGTGTGTGTGTGTGTGTGGTGTGTGTGTGTGTGCGTGTGTGTGTGCGTGTGTGCGTGTGTGTGTGCGTGCGTGTATATGTGTGTGTGTGCGTGTATGTGTTTGTGTGTGTGTGCGCGTGTGTATGTATGTGTGTGTGTATTTGTGTGTATGTGTGTGTGTGTGCGTGTGTGTGTGCGTGCGTGTGTGTGTATGTGTGTGTGTATGTGTGTGTGTGTGCGTGTGTGTGTGCGTGCGTGCGTGTGTGTGTGTGCGTGTGTG